GATAAGTAATAGTAATTAGAAAATTTATGTCTAGCTTGGTTTGTAAAAACATTAATTTTCTCTCTCATAACATAGACACTAACCCTTCTCTAACTTATGCCACTCTGCATGGCTCACCTACCAAAATCCTTTTCAAATTGTTTTTATATTCAAATCCCCTTCCCCCCTAAAAAAACCCCTACCTTATTAACATGAATGATTTTATGACTGTGAAAGTTCCCTTAGATCAGTCATTATGATGTTCCAATCCGTACGGTCTCAAGTGATACACAAAATACTCCATCTGGTACATCATGTTCGGAGAGATGTAATGAAAAGATATAGAGTGATCTGCACAACAATCTGGTCCCTCTATGAATGGGTGCTCATCGTACTGATACAACCAATTGTTTGGTAGAGAACCAGGTATAAGTTGGTGCTCTGGCTGCAAAGGATGAAATGTTTCTCTCTGTCTGGAATCTCTGGTATCCCCTGGGTGTACTCCGGCATTAGCTAAGCACTTCCCTACTTCTACATCTTCATCAGGGCTTTCCAAAGAACAAAGACTTGGATCTTTGAGGAGTTTTCCAAACCTCCTCAGAGTATCTTTACTAAAAACATACCCAGCTCCACCACTATTAAATCCCCCAAACTTTTTGAAGTGCCTTCCAAAGTAATATGGTTTCTCTGTGTTATATTTTGAACACAACAATTTCAAATTCTCGACAATAATATAAGTATCATCATCTGCTTTCAGAAACCACTCGGCGTCATTCAGATGACGGTCGTAGATGTACTGCCAAGCTGCTCGAGTCTTGTACCAGAGTTTGTCATGCCCTTCAGGGACGTCAAGTCCAACAGCAGGAAAACTTTTATTCTCCTTTGAACTCATAAACAAAAGCTTATCACATCTTTTGCCCCAAGTTTCTTTAACAGATCTACCTTTAGAATACAGCGTCTTTGGACTAGTCATAACCCAACACAATACTCTAACCTTTTTAAGTCGGTCAGAAATATCTTGACTTAGTCTATGATGCTTGTCGTTCATGCCTTTATCAAAGTTCATTGACGGAACAAGACGTACTCTTTTAGTTTCATTCGAGTGCGTTCCATGGACCTCGTCATTGTCGTCAAACTCCACAAAATGAGCACCACTTTGACTGAATTTCCCGTGTCTTAAATAACGATTAAGCAATCCACCATTTCTAAAATAAACTAAAGCTACGTAGGTGGTGAAAATGCCAAAACTTAGGCCAATAGCGAAGCCCAAAAATGACGCTCTAACCATCGCCATCTTGCATTTTAAGGCTTGCTTTTCTTCTGGTTTCCTTCAAGTAATCTATAAATAGTACTTGTGAAGAATCATAAATACCGCACAGCTATGAATCACGCGTTCTGATTGGTTGAGAGAGGAATCTTTATGGCGAGACACCCAGGAGCGCAATTTCTTTTCATTCGTATCCAAAATGATGGTTAATTAAGAATGATGCGCGCTTTGATTGACTCAGCATCTATGAAGAAGAATAGTATAATAAGCATTTTGGGTATTTTAAGGGCGATTTGTAGCCTTGTAGCCTTGGTTCCCCTTTGCATTGGCATTTCTGATCTTATACTGGCACCTGTTAGATGCCATAAATGGTATGAATAAGGGCGTTAAAAATCAACGACGAAAGAGTCAACTTCGCTGCCATGTTTTCTCGCTGTCAAATTGAGCAAAACCACGTTTCTTTCAACCGAGAATTCCATTCACAGTGACACTTGTTGTCCACTTTTGATCACTTTCGTAAAGATAGTAAATTCTTAAATTCTAGTAAAATCTTTTATTAAGATTTCTATTCAATCTTTGGACATTTCTTTGTATTTGTTTTAAAGTTTTAGAATGATAAATGTTTAAAATAGCTAGCGATTCTTTCTCGCTTCACATTTGCCTCCTTGGCGTTTATTACACGAAATTTGATTGGCTAACGATCGAAGTTCGTGATGTATGGAGAATTTGTATTTTGATTTAACAGATCAAAAACAGTTTTCCGTGTTTGATACTCTGATCAAAACACGCGGGATGTTGGGAGAACACGAGAGCAGCGTAGGAAACCACGACGCGTAGCGGAGTGGTTTCCAGCTTCTCGAGTGTTCTCCCAACATCCCAAGTGTTTTGATCAGAGTATCAAACACAGAAAACTG